GAGAGTCACCTTCTCCAATAGGGCTAGAGAATAAAGCAGTAACAATCCCTTCCTCATTCCTGAAGACTCCTCCAATCCCAGAGGGCCCTGGATTCCTTACACTGCCGCCATCAAAATTCAAGCTTTATAAAGCCCGAGGGAGAAGGGGACCAAAACGGACAAAGAGTCCTCTTGCATCTAGCAATGGAAGCAATCACTTTCCAGTTTCTTAGCAAGTCATCCACAGGGAAATCTGAAAACAACTCCATAGATTTTAGCCAGTGGACAGCCCTTAAAAGGATTCGATCTAACAATTCTTCCAATGTTCTTTCCTTGTCGGAAAAAATGTGCGAGTTTCTTTCTTCCCACAAAGACCAGCATACTGCTGCCCTAATACACCTCCACATAGTCTTCCCTCGCTTCCTAGGCCAACTGAAAAAAGAAGGAGAAAACAAACCTTGGACAGTCTCCGGAGGATACTAAAAACACCCAAAACGGGAGAAAACCCACTCCCAAACAGTTTTAGCAGCCTTACAAGAGACCATGAGGTGGTAGCCAAATTCCCCATCAGCTTTACAAAGAGCACATCTATTAGGAAGTAGACAAAAGTTGGGTCTCTTTCTCTAAAGTAAGTCTAAAGTGTTGATTCTTTCCAGGAAATTTTCCCAACAAAAAAAACCAACCCGAGGAGGAATAGGCCTGCTCCAAATTTCCTTAACTGGAAAGGACAACCCAAAGGGGATAAGAGGCTGAGTTAAGGTTTCAAAGAAWGAAGCACAAGAAAAGGTACCAGAGCTAGAAAGGGTCCAAAATTTGGTGTCTTCCTTAGCAGGGTTTAAGAAGACAATCTCAAGGGAGGCTAGCAAAGTTACCAAGCTATCCATGTTTGTATCCCTAATTGCCCTACGTAGGCCAAGGTTCCATCCAAAGCCAGAAGTGGAGGCTGAAGGGACCAAGAAAGAAGATATGGATTCATTTTTCAAGTCTGATAGAGCATACAAGGAAGGAAACTAGTCCTTTAGAGGAGAATCCCCGACCCAAAGTTGTTCCCAGAATTTTATTCGGTTACCAAAGTTTAGACCATACCTGATCCAAGGGGAGAAAACTGGAAGCAGATTGTGAATGGATTTCCAAGGAGAAGCAGTTGAAGCCCTTGCCAAGATTCCAGAATCCCAACCATTGTCTTCCAGCCCATGAATGTTAGCCACAATCTTAGTCCACAATTCATCCCTTTCCAATGAAAACCTCCACAACCACTTCCCCAGTAGAGCCATATTCCTTTTCTTGAAATTACCAATCCCAAGACCTAGTTTTTTATACCTAGTGACCACCTCCCAACTCACCCTATGATCTCTCTTCTCCTCTCCAGGCTCCCAGAGAAAGTTCCTTRTTATTTTTTCCAAAAGATTTGAAACCTTTGAGGGGATCTTAAACACTGACAGATAGTAGACAGGTAGGTTAGCTAGGGTAGACCTAATGAGAGTGACTCTCCCACTTAAAGAAAGATAACTTCTCTTCCAGGCCGCCAACCTCTTCTCAAACCTCTCCACTACCGGAGCCCAAAAGCTAACACTCTTAGGATTATTTCCTAAAGGGAGGACCAAATATGTCAGGGGCCAGTCCAAAATTGCACAACCTAGCTCACCTGCAAATTCCCTTAGGTCCCTTTCGTTCACATTCACTCTCGCCACACAACTCTTATTAAAGTTTACCTTGAGGTTAGATATCTGCTCAAAGAGTTGTATTGTCAACTTTAGATTCCGGATCCAATTGAAGTTCCCTCCTTCACAGAAAATGACAGTATCATCTGCAAACTGTAGAAGTGTTAAGGGAACCTCCTCCCTTCCTACTCTCCACCCTCTTATCAAATTCCTCGAGTCTGCTCCATGGATCAATCTCCCAAGCACATCAACAATCAAGGTGAAAAGAAATGGGGAAAGAGGATCTCCTTGTCTTAGACCTCTCAACGCAGGAAAGAAGTCAACCACAGTCCAGTTCACCAGGATAGAATAATGACAAGTCCTAACACAGCCCCACAACCACTTACATCACCTGTCTCCAAAACCAAAACTCCTCAACACCTCCATCAAGAAAGACCAATCAACCAAGTCATAAGCCTTCTCCAAATCCAATTTGCAAACCACTCCCTTCTTCTTTGACTTCCTAAAGCCCTCCAAGCTCTCATTTGCAATGAGAATCTGATCAGTGATCTGTCTTCCCTCCACAAAAGCACCTTGGTTGGGTGCAATAATARAGGGRAGCACCTTCTTTATCCTGAGAGACARCACCTTTGCAATGATTTTGTACAAGCTAGTCACCAGAGTAATAGGTCTAAAATCCTTTGGTTGAGAA